CCCATTCTATACCCACCCTGGCTCTCATGTATGCCAGTGAGTGCTGGAGTTTAGCCCAGTCTGGTACCTCCCAGATCCATGCTGAGGGACAGTGCAGCCATGTCCGGCCCAGATTGCTGCACTTATTCCGGTTCCCGTGCTCACCAATGGGAACCCCAACCCAGCTGTGGCACCACCATTACCTCCCCAAGCAGGGTTATTCTCAGCCACAGATCTTGTGCATGCCAGTGGTTGCTCTGACCCAGCTCAGGATAGCCCATTCCCTGTCTTGCCCTTTGCCATCAGATGCTGAAGCCTGGCCTGTCCCAACCTGCCCCAAGTCCCAACTCTGGCTGGTGGATGCTGCAGTCTAACCCTACCCAGTCTGCTCCCATCCCAGGCTCATGGAAACTGGTAGTTGTGATAGCCTAGACCAGGATGGTCTGCACTCCTGGCTCCTCATGCCAGTGAACTAAGGTTTGTTCAATCCTGTCGAACCCACACATTTGCCAACAAGTGCGGCAGCCCTACCATGGGTTAATGGTGAAAATCGCTAACATTTGCTGTCAGCGCTCTTGCCATTTGTTTTCCTGGTTTGGGCCTGGGCCGCTCAGGATATGATCCCATACTGGTCCAGACCCAGACCCATCCTACCATGAGTCACCTCTGCCCAGGGCAAGTGAGCCCCCTTTCTAACACTGTAACAGGTGAGTTAGCACCTTTGCTTTTCTGGAGCAGTCTGATACATTCATGTTCCCCTGCCCAGTACAGTTTCTGTTGTTCAGGGTGGGTTCTGTAAACGCCACGCCTGGGGACTGAACTCCACTGACCATCTCCCATGCTCTGAAGTGACAGGTACAGAATCCTACTTATAGACACACAAAAAATGAAAACTTCATTGCCTGCCCCCCCCCAAACAATACTCTTGGGTATGGATATTATTTATAATAGCTAAAAGGTGAAAACACGTAAATCAATGTACTTTTAAATGCACCACGTAGGGCCCAGCGCGGTAGCCTGGAGGACTGCCGGATCTCTCACTCTGCATCAGCTTTGCAGGATTGCCACCATTTACAGCCTGTGTTGTAACCAGTAGGGCCCTGACTGCCACTCCGGTGACTCAATTTGAAACATTATAAAGCCGCACCCCTAGGCTGCTTACGCGGCGGCCTGGCCCACCGCTGTGGTCCTTGTCGTCCAGGACCGCAGGCAAAAACCAAGTGTTTCTGCTGCGCTGTCGGCCCCGCCCCTTCCCGGCGGCTGTCCATCAATCCCGAGGCTCCGCCCCCGGCTCCCAAGGCGGAGATTGCGCGCGCGCAGTTTGGCCGCCATGTCACCTGCGCTCGGGGTTCCCACAGCGGTGCGTGTCCGCTGGCCGGGTGGTCGCTGGACACCGAGGCCCGGCCGCCTGCTGGCCTGCTGGCCGGGTGGTCGCTGGACAGCGAGGCCGAAGCCTGGTGGGGCACACCCGGGTCACCCCAAGGCCCAGCGGGCTGAAGCCGCGATCGGACAGTCCTCGGGCGGCCCTCCTCCTGCGCTGACCTGTGAATTTCCACGGATGCAGGTGAGCTGCAGGGGGACGCCTCGGTGCCCATCCCTGCGCCTGGACTCTGGCCGTGGACACCCGTGGGGGGACGCCTGGGCCCCACTGGATGTCTATCTCTCAGCTGCCCACGGACACCCATGGAGGGACTCCTGGGCCCCGCTGGGTGTCCACCTCTTGGCTGCCCATGGACACCCGTGGGAGACTGTCTCCAGCTAACACAGAAGCTGGCTGAGTTGTCAGTCCTAACATGATACATTATGATCATCTGTCACAAGATTGATTAGATTTTTCACAGAAACTTTGCTCAAGAGTCATATTCAACTTTTTTTAGCCCTCTGGCATGTTTCATTTTTTATTTCTTTCTGCCCTTCCCAAGACCTCGAGCTTAGAGTAGCTCAGTATTTAAATTTTCAGCCAGGCCCCTAGTCCAGGAAGAAATAATTCTACTTCCTCATTAAACAGGATTCTTGCTGCGGCTTGTGGCTTTGTTCTCTTTTGAGGTGGGGGATTAAAAATTTCTTTCATGACTCGTGGCCTGAATGCTCGTCACTGTTGGAGGTCTACAGGCCTGGGTAATCTTTTCCTATTCTGTGAATTATTTTAATCATTGGTAACACTTTCTTTTTAGCCAGCTTGCATTCCTAAGATGAAGCAGACTTATTCTCATAATTCGTTTCCCAGCTGCCCTGGATGTTTTCATATCCTGTTGTGATCATTTGTGCTTTCTGTTCTGGGATTGAAACCACTCGAACAGTCTGTCCTCGTTCATTGGCTCAACTGGCCTGGACAATCACATTACTTGTAGAAATTCATCATCTATGTATTTTCATGCCTGCTCTGTTTTTTTGTTAACATTTATCCCAACAAAGTTTGTAAATTTTTTTTTTTAAGACTTACTTTTTTTGCAAAGCCAGATAGGAGGAGAGACAGAGAGGAAGATCTTCCATCCGATGATTCACTCCCCAAGTGGCCACAACAACCAGAGCTGAGCTGATCTGAAGCCAGGAGCCTCCTCTAGGTCTCCCACGCAGGTGCAGAGTCCCAAGGCCCACTGCCCCATTTCCTCGGGCTCGGGGCGTGGGAAGTGAGTGGGGGTGCCTGGAGTCTTCCAGCTTTACTGAGACCTTCCCTGTACCTTCTCCTCAGGAGCAACCTGGCGAGGGAGAGAGCAGTGTGTGAGTTACGGAGGGACACGATGCAGGTGAGCCAGAGGCAGGCGCCAAGCGACCATGACTGACCATGACTGGCCGTCTCTGAACTGTTCCTGGGTTGGGCCACATGCAAACATTTTGGGCTTTCAAGAGCATAGTTTTCTTTGTTTTTTTTTTTAAGGTTTATTTATTTTTTAATGAAAAGCCAGATATACAGAGAGGAGAAGAAACAGAGAGGATCTTCCATCCACTGGTTCACTCCCCAAGTGGCTGCAATGGCCAGAGCTGAGCTGATCTGAAGCCAGGAGCCTCTTCTGGGTCTCCCACGTGGGTGCAGGGTCCCAAGGCTTTGGGCTGTCCTCCACTGCTTTCCCAGGCCACAGGCAGGGAGCTGGATGGGAAGTGGAGTAGCCAGGACTTGAACCTGTGCTCTTATGGTATGCTGGCACTGCAGGCAGAGGCTCAGCCTGCTTTGCCATGGCATTGGCCTCTGAGAACTATCAAATGAATGTGACAAGATTGATTCAGTCTGGAAGTGTGTGGGGGAGAAAGGGAGAAAGAGATGTGACATCCAAATCTCAGAGTAGATGTGAAGAATGTTCTAGAATCTTCTGAACATCTCAAAAATGGACTCTCGGTTCCCAAGTGTTGTCCACCCCACACATCCTTTTGCACATGTTGGAGGAACGGTGCCTTTCTTAGCTGTCTTTGTGGGATGTTTTAGGCCTCTGTGGTCCTCGAGGACGTGGCCGTGGACTTCACCCGGGAGGAGTGGGCTTTGCTGGACCTTGCTCAGCGGAGCCTCTACAGAGAGGTGATGCTGGAGACCTGCTGGAACCTGGCCTCACTCGGTAAGAGGGGCAGCCATGTGGCTGTCCAGAGGACAACATTCTGCTAACTGAAGAATGAGGATGCACTGGTCCGTGAGACCAGCATGCTCCCAGATCACAGGGCACAACACTGTGATGACAGACAGCGTGTGTTGAGCCGGCCCTTCCTTTTCCTTGAGACTGAAGGCCCTGAGGCTCGTTGGGCCAGGACGTGTGGATGTAGCCTTCCTGCTCCACTGTACAGCATGTGGAGGAAGCTCGTGGTTTTTACTGCATCAGGGCTCCTTGCCCAAAGGCTAGCAGGAACATACAGGTGTGGGACCAGCTAACCTCAATGTGGGATGCTAGCATTACAAGCGGCAGCTGCATGTGTTACACTACAGTGTAATGCCAGTTCCTCCCATTGTCTTGCAGTTTTCTAGTCTTACGTATTAGGGTTAGGTCTGTGGCTCATTTTGAGCTAATCTTTGTGAAGAGTGTGGACATATTTCCAGGCCTGAGGATGCCCAGCTGGTCCAGCACTATATCGGGAAGGACTTTACTTGTTGCAATGCTTTTGCTTCCTGTGGAAGACCAGCTGACTTGACTGTCATCCCTTGGTATCCATGTGGATTTGCTCCAGGACACCTTGTGGAGGGCAAACTGCATGCACACTCGAGTCCTGAAAGAACAGGGTAGTGTTTGCACAGACTCCACACAGACCCAGCCGCCAGCTTTACATCTCTAAATGATTTCTCAGTTTTTTCACGTCAGATGGATAATGTGCCGACATCATAACAAGATTTGGAGGGAGGCACATGTTGCCTCCTGTGTGTGTCAACCACAAAAGGATCTATTTCTGATCCCTAATATGATGCAAATGCTACATGAATAGTTGCTGTATATCTTGTTCAGGGAATAATGACATGGAGACAAAAGTCTATATGTTTCCAGTGCAGTTATGATGTTTTCCTGAATATTTTCCATTCATTGTTGATTGGGTTCACAAAAGTGAGACCCATGGTTACTTTTACTGGAAGCCACACGAGCACTTCCCAGATACCCACCACAGCTGCAGTTGGGCCAGGCCAAAGCCAGGCGCCAGGACTCCATCCAGCGTGTGTGCGAGCAGGGAGCTGGGTTGTTACGTAGAGGCTGGATTGAGATCCAGGAACCCTGACACGGGGTCCGGGCGGCTTTAGGGGAGCTTGAACAGCTGTGACACAGGTGGTCATGTCAGGTGTGGACAGAAACTAGAGGCAGTTCTGTTGTTGAGCATGATGTAGGTAGCGTAGAACTTTTTGCTGGGTCCATCCTTAAACTATCATTGCGAAATAGCCTTGTCACAATCTCAGAGTGCCCTTGTTCCAAGTTGGCATTCTGTGAGATTATTTATGTTCAACTGGACCAGCACCAATCAGCTTGTAGTATAATTGAGCTGTGACTCATGTCAGTTCTGGAATCAGAGGTTTCATCCACCTATCCCTGACCCCCTGCTCTTTCTTTTGAAAACAGACTTGGCATTCTGTTGCAGTTGAACTCAGCCTTGCCATCTCTGGCATACAGGAAAGCCTGGATTTTGGTTGTATCTCACAGAAATGCTTGTGGCTCTGCATTGTCTTCCCTCAGGGTACCTGCTGCACACACCCCAGCTCTTCTCCCAGGAGCTACAAGCGGAGGCCCCAAAGACAGCAAGAGGAAGACTTACCCAAGACGTCTGTCCCATGGAGCACCAGGAAGGCAAGAATCCTTGGGATAAACGGTCCTTGGGATAAAAGTAAACCAGATAAAAGCAAACATACAACCTTGTTTTATCCAAGGAGGCTGCTGCTCCAGATGCCTTAATGACTGTTCTCCCTGTCCTTAGCCAAGGCCTCCCATATCATTCCTTCCTGTAAGTTCCATGTGCATGGAGCTCCATTCCTGTCTGTCCTTTCTCTTTATACTAGTCTACTTTTTTGCCAGCAGTTTCACTCTCCGTAGAATTATTTCTTACATTTAAAAACACTGCTATTTATTTTTATTTATCTGAAAGGCAGAAAGAGCTCTTTCCATCGTTGGTCCATTTTCTACAGGCCTATAACAGCCAACGCTCAGCCAGGCCAAAGGCAGGTGCTGGGAGTTCCCTTCGGAGCCCACCCAAGGGTGGTGGGAAGCCAGCACTTGGGCCATTCTTGCTGTCTCCTGCACTGCTTACTAACAGGAAGCTGGGACTCAACCCAAGCACTCCCAGTCCAGCCTAACCACCGTGCCCATTACCTGTCCTGTTTCTTAGCTGCTAACCATCTCAACCCTGGCGGAAACAGCCAGACTGCTCAAAGTCCTCAGTGTACAGGTGCCCTCCCTTTTTCGTTTCAGCCTTTGAAATACAACCAAAAGCTAAGGAACCAGTTGCTCTGCGAGATATGTATGGAGAAAAAGCATCCCATGAACAGAAAATTCTAAGATTCAAAAGGAATGATTCTTGGTCTTCCATTTTACATGAAATCTGGGAATACCATGATACTGATTATCGGAACAAAAACCAGGAGAGACAGCTGAGGCGAGTGATACTCATAAAAGAGTCCTGAAATTTATCAAACATTGTGATTTCACAAATAATTTTGCCAGTCTATTTTCTCCCGCAAATGATACTTGGTTTTTGGACATTTGACGCACATGCTTCAGTTGTGAACAATTACCAGGAAAATCCTGTAGCTCAAAAGCTCAGTGGAAGTGCAGGCCTTCTGTGGAACTTTCAGCTGATACAACCAGATAGGGCAGAAAGTAGACAAATTCACTGAGAATGGTACATTCCTGTTACTAATAAAGTGCTTTTGATCTTTAAGTCACGTGGCAGAGAATCCCTATAAATACAACGAGGAGCATCAGCGTGGACACAGCTTGAACCAAGTCCCAAATGTCAAGGGCGTGACTGCAGTCAGTTCCTACGAATGCCACGAGTGTGGCAAGGTCTTCACGGATCATCCATCACTTGAGGCCCACCTGAGCTCTCACACAGGGAGCAAGCCCTACCGGTGCAAGGAGTGTGGGAAAGCCTTCCACTTCCTCGCTTGTTTTAAGAAGCACGTGAACACTCCCAATGAAGGGAAGCCCTACACGTGTAAGGAATGCACGAAAGCCTTCCGCTGTTCCTCCCTCTTCAGGGCACACATGAAGATCCACACGGGAAAGACCAGCCATGAATGCCAGGAATGTGGCAAAGCCTTCAGCTGCTCTTCTTCCCTCACAGAACACAAAAGAATTCACAGCGGAGATAAGCCCTACGAATGTAAGGAGTGTGGCAAAGCCTTCAGCTGCTCCTCCTCCCTGTCCAAACACAAGAGGATGCACAGTGGAGACAAGCCGTATGCGTGTAAGGAATGTGGGAAGGCCTTCAGCTCTTCCTCTCACCTCATCATCCACATACGGATTCATACCGGGGAAAAGCCCTATGAATGTAAGGATTGTGGCAAGGCCTTCAGCGAGTCTTCCAAACTCACCGTACATGTGAGAACACACACAGGAGAGAAGCCCTACAAATGCCAGGAGTGTGGAAAAGCTTATAACTGCCCCTCCTCCTTGAGTATCCACATGAGGAAACACACTGGAGAGAAACCCTACGAATGCCTGGAGTGTGGGAAAGCCTTCTATCTGCCCACCTCCCTTAATACACACGTGAAAAATCAAAGCAGAGAGAAGCCTTGTGAGTGTAAGGAGTGTGGCAAGGCCTTCAGCTGTCCCTCCTCCTTCCGAGCACACGTGAAAGATCACCCTGCAAAGATCCAGTATGAATGCAAGGAGTGTGGCAAGGCCTTCAGCCGCTCCTCATCCCTCACGGAGCACCTAAGGACGCACAGTGGAGAGAAGCCTTACACGTGTAAGGAGTGTGGCAAGGCCTTCATCAGCGCCTCCCACCTCACGGTCCATGTCAGGACACACACCGGAGAGAAGCCCTACGCGTGTAAGAAATGTGGGAAGGCCTTCATTTACCCCTCGGCCCTGAGGATCCACATGAGAACACACACTGGGGAGAAGCCCTACGAGTGTAAGGAGTGCGGGAAAGCCTTTCGCCATTCTTCCTACCTCACTGTCCACGCAAGAATGCACACTGGAGAGAAGCCCTTTGAGTGCCTGGAGTGCGGGAAGGCCTTCAGCTGCCCCTCATCCTTCCGAAGACACATGAGGAGCCACACTGGAGAGAAGCCGTACGAGTGTGAGGAATGCGGAAAAGCCTTCGTCTGTCCTGCCTACTTCCGGAGACACCTGAAGACACATGCTTGAGAAAACAGCTAAAGGCAAGGCACGCGCGCGTGTCTGCAGCTCGGAAGATCTCATGGGGAAGACACTTGCCAACATAAGAAGGTCGGAAACTGGGCTAGTCTTGTGTGCAGACTTGAGAACATCCGAGAGAAGCCCTTTCTTGTAAGTGAGCCATACCTCTGTGAACAGCACTTACTGAAAAAAAACAAAGAAATATGTATATTTTTTTCATAGGCAGACACAGGAGTGAATTTCTTTAAAAAATGTGTCTAATGAATGTCTTATTCCTTATAATATTATTATTTTTTTTTTTTAAAGATTTATTTTTATTATTTTTTTATTGGAAAGGCGGATATACAGAGAGGAGAGACAGAGAGGAAGATCTTCCGTCCGATGATTCACTCCCCAAGTGAGCGCAACGGCCGATGCTATGCCGATCCGAAGCCAGGAGCCTCTTCCGGGTCTCCCACGTGGGTGCAGGGTCCCAAAGCTTGGGCCGTCCTCGACTGCTTTCCCGGGCCACAGGCAGGGAGCTGGAAGGGAAGCGGGGCTGCCGGGATTAGAACCGGCACCCATATGGGCTCCCGGGCGTGCAAGGCGAGGACTTAACCACTTGTGCCACCGCGCCGGGCCCACTCCTTATAATATTGATAATTTGGCATGATACAGAGATATTGGAAATGGCCTCATATATTTTTTCTTCTTTTTCATATTCTCTTCCTCTCGGGAAGGAGGACAGAGGGGCACAACTGGGCCGCGCTTTGCCCATGTCACGTCTTTGAGAACCTGGAAGTGCGGGGCTGAGGGTCGGACAGGAGCCGGTGGACCAGGCCTACTTGGTTCCGGCCTGAACAGCACTGGGCAAGGGAGGCAGAGGCGGAGCCTAGAGCCAGGCCTCTGGGCGTGGCCAGGCCGGGGCTGAGAGCCAGGCCTCTGGGCGTGGCCTGGGGTGAGAGGCCTCTGGGCGGAGCCAGAGCAGGGGCGGGGCTGTACCCAGGAGGTGGAGCTCTCCTGGCCAAGGCCAAATCTCCGAGCAAACCTCAGCAGGGGGAGGGCGCACAGAACCTGGTTCCAAGCCACTTCCTGGAGCACTTAGTATGATTCCCCCATTGATAAGCCTGCTCATCCATCCAATGCCCCAACAATCCAGTATTTAGATCTTTATTTTCCCCTTCTTTTCATTTATCAACACACCATGGTCAACTCCTAATAGTTGATTTCTACTTTGTCAGATGCTGAATTGCAGCCAACGGGAACTTTGAGTTAACATATTTGTGCTGTCTGTGCCAAGGATGGGGAGCTACTACAACCAGTAAAGTGTTTCCTTTATAACGTCAGGGTGGACATACAAAAATCAGCAGTTTCTCTATACTAACATTAAAAAATTGGGAAAACATCCTTAAATAAAGAATAAATTTCGGCCAATTGTCACTATACTATGTGAAGCCAGATACAAATATTGCATGACCACACTTAAAATGTGGTATCCAAAAACAACTCAGATTCACCGAAGAGCAGAAAGAAACAGTGGCTATGAGGGGCTGGATGCTGGGGGAACGAAAAGTTCTTGAAAGTGTCAGTAAAGACCAAGAAGAGACACTTTCATATAGCGTGCTGACCACACTTAATGCTACATACCTAAAACCTCCTAAGGCAAAAGAGTTTTCAAAACACCAAAAATAAAACATCACAATGTCAAGCAAGGAATATTTTATTCAGTTTCACAATGTATACGTATGTCACCACCTGGCTATGCACCTTAAAAGGAAAACTGTAGTAGAGATTGGATGTAGCAGAGAAGTTTAAAACACAGATATTTTTAAAAACACTTCAAATATTCAAACAATCGGATGTTCAAAATAAATCCATAAAGCCAAGACATCCATGCTCTTGAACACAGGGGAGCATTTTTCATGTCCCATGCGAACCCTGAAGAACATGTCACTTGAAAGCGACGTTCTGACATGGCTGACCACTGTGAACCTCAAAGCACTCAGGCCTAAGCTTGGCCACATCTTACAGGTTTAGGCTTTCTCTCCACTGTAGAGCTCACACTGAGCAAGACCCCAAGCACTGGTAAGGGCTTTCCATGTTCTGGACCACCGGATGGCTTGCACATGCAGCCTTACCTGCTGGACAGACAGGAGATGCCAGCAGCTTTCCCGTGTTCCTGAGATGCATGGGACATCTTCAGCTACGTTTTCAGTCTTGGCAATGAGCACGGCCCCTCTGGATCAGAACTCGAAAGTGCTGAGGCCTGAGGACTCCGTTCCTCACCTGCAAAGGTTTTCCCCCCAGCGTGTCTGCAGGCATTCAGAAAGATGGGCAGGATTCCTGGACGCTTGCCCGCACGCTTTCTGTTTGTGGGCCTTCTCCGCACTGTGAGTCCTCACATGTTTACTGAGGTGTGAATACACGGTGAAGGCCTTCCCACACTCCTTACACACGTAAGGTTTCTCTCCGGTGTGAGTACGCATGTGGTTCTGCAGGTAGGAGGAACACGTGAATGCCTTCCCACACGCGTGACACTCGAAGGGCTTCTCCCCGGTGTGGATTCTCAGATGGGCGATGAGATAGGAGGAGGAGGCGAAGGCCTTGCCGCACTGGTAACACTCGAAGGGCTTCTCCCCCGTGTGGATCCGTGCGTGCTCAATGAGGCCGGAGGACGTGGTGAAGGCTTTCCCGCACTCCTTGCACATGTAGGGCTTCTCCCCGGTGTGTGTCCGCAAGTGTTTGGTGAGGCCCGAGCGCACGGTGAAGGCCTTCCCACAGTCCTTACACTTATGGGGCTTCTCTCCGGTGTGAATTCTTGTATGTTTGCTGAGATGTGAGGAGACGGTGAAGGCTCTCCCGCACTCCTTACAGATGTAAGGCTTCTCCCCGGTGTGAGTTCGCACGTGGTTCTGCAGGTAGGACGAACACGCAAATGCCTTCCCACACATGCTGCACGCGAAGGGGTTCTCCCCAGTGTGTGTTCGCAAATGCTTGGTGAGGCACGTGCGCTCCGTGAAGGCCTTCCCACACTCCTTGCAGGTGTAGGGCCTCTCTCCGGTGTGAGTACGCATGTGGATACGAAGGTAGGAGGAACACGTGAATGCCTTCCCACACGCGTGACACTCGAAAGGCTTCTCTCCGGTGTGGATTCTCAGATGGGTAATGAGAGAGGAGGAGGAGGCGAAGGCCTTGCCGCACTGGTAGCACTCGAAGGGCCTCTCCCCCGTGTGTGTCTGCGCGTGCTTGATAAGGCCCGAGGATGTGGTGAAGGCTTTCCCGCACTCCTTGCATGCGTACGGCTTCTCTCCAGTGTGAGTCGGCAAGTGTTTACTGAGACCAGAGCGCCCAGTGAAAGCCTTGCCGCAGTCCTTGCATTTATATGGCTTTAATCCGGTGTGAACGCGGAAGTGGTCGTTGAGGCAGGAGGAATTTCTAAAGCATTTTCCACATACCTTGCATTCAAAGGGCTTCTCTCCTGTGTGAGTTTTCAGATGTTGAGTTAATGGGTAAAACCTAGAGAAGGCTTTCCCACATTCCTTACACTGGTAAGGTTTCTCCCCCGTGTGGGTTCGCATGTGAATATTAAGGTTGGCGGAGTACCTGAAACTTTTCCCACACTCCTCACACTCGTGGGATTTTCTTCTGGTGCCTGCCTGCACACGTATATCTGCGTGGCTAACGGAGGAGGGGAAAGTGCTAGCACACTGCTTCCAGGCAGACAGCTCCCCAGCACTGTGGGTCTTCCCACACGCCTGACAGTGTGCTGGGGCTGCGAGGGCTGGGCCGTGGTCGCTGCACGCAGTCTGGTAAACACGCCGGGTCACACTCAAGTCTTTCCCATCCTCACTGAACACTGGAAAGCTCTCTCCAGGGTTCTTGAGCAGAGTAGGGATGCCTTCTGCATGCTGACCATATGGACATGTGTCCCTCCTATTTGGAGCACTCAGGAGTGTCAGAAGGCCCAGGCACTCTCTGAAGACTTCACTATAAGCATTAGAGTCACAGAGTCCCACTCCATTCTGGCTTCTTGCCTATTGACAGAAATAAGTGCTGAATGTTTTCATTGTCAAACATATTAAATAGATTTTAGTCATAGGAGAGCAACAGGAGGAGGACAATGAGTTTCACTATTTCCATCATGTGCACACAGTTCTTACCCTCTGGATTTTCCTTGAATTTGAAAGAGATTAGTGCTACCTGCACTAATCTTGAAAAGATTCCTACAAGACTTTCACAAACTTATTTTTAAAAGCAAATGTCTGGCTGTCACTGGGACAAGTGAATGCCAAGGCACCAAGCTCCACAGGAGGCCTACTTTCCTACTTCCTGAATTCTTTGTCTGGTGGAAGGTTAAGCTTGTGATGATAAAACAATCAGAAAGTATGCCATTGTACAAATTCCAAGAGAAATGAAGGAAGGAAGGAGAGAGGGAGGGAGGACAGGATAGGAAGTAGCATAAGGCTCTTAAAACTGCACAGATGAAATTAATGAAATTTGCTCACTTTATGTAAATCTGAAAAACTAATTTTTAAAAATGTGCCATTTGTGATTCCTATCATGAAATTTCCAGTCACTCTGAATGTGGATAGTAAGGCATTGTCTGCTGTGTATCTTACCAGTTGCATCCCGTTTGGACTGTGTGACCAAAAAATGTCCTGCCAAAGTGCTGGTCCCTTGTTCTTAAGGTGTATTTCCCATTCTGAAGTAAAACAGAAAAACATATGCAAGGATTTATACAACAAAAGAGTAGTCTCAAGAAGTTAACAATGACATAGTTGCATTTGTTTTCATTTTAAACATGCTTAAAAACAAAAGAGATCAGGGTTGCTATTTTGTAAAATTCAGCAATAATGAAGCTACACATTCAAAATGTCGTCAACCTGGGGAACCCAGAGAAAACAAAACGCCAAGAAGTTTAAGAGATGCTGGATGGTCAGAAAGATGAAAACTGGGCCCGGCGCGGTGGCGCAAGTGGTTAAGGTCCTCGCCTTGCACGCCCGGGATCCCATATGGGCACCGGTTCTAATCCTGGCAGCCCCACTTCCCTTCCAGCTCCCTGCCTGTGGCCTGGGAAAGCAGTGGAGGACGGCCCAAAGCTTTGGGACCCTGCTCCCGCGTGGGAGACCCGGAAGAGGCTCCTGGCTTCGGATCAGCATAGTATCGGCCGTTGACCTCACTTGGGGAGTGAATCATCGGACGGAAGATCTTCCTCTCTGTCTCTCCTCTCTGTATATCTGCCTTTCCAATTAAAAAAATAATAATAATAATAACAAAAAAGACCCAGATTATTTTAAAAAATAATAATAAAATAAAATAAAAAAAGAAAGATGAAAACTGCTAAAAAATAAATCTAATCTAAATGAAAAATATGCATTCTCTATGTATAGAATTTGAAAGTGTAACAATTATTTTCTCTTTTTAAAAAATCCATAAATTATTAAATACTTAGCTATTTTATCTTTATAAACTAAAAAAAGAAAGCCCAAAATGTCGTCATTTTGACAAACTTATGCAAACGAAAATGTTCTGGTTAACAGAAACAACATTATCAGAAAGGGATGTAGGCCAATCTCAGCCTCTCCAACAGCCACCAACTCAAGGAAGAGCAGACACTAAGACGAGACAGCAGAGACCTTCCCACTCTGTCTCAGCTTTCTGTATCTGTACTTTAAATAAGTGAGAACATCTAATCTGGCAAAAGAGGAGGGAAAAGACAAGAGGACAGAGTAGGGCGTGGAGAGATGGGAGGAGCAGAAGCAGTCTTCGCACAAACACTCTCAACAGGTTTCCCCAGTGAAGCTTAAGCACACCAGACTTGTCAGGGACTAGGAACGCCACTCACAAACACTCACCTTGAAGAACGCCTCTCTCCGTCGTCCTCAACTCTTCGTCCTCCTCCAGACAAGAGTTCAGGCTGGGTTTACTGAGCTGGCATGCTGTATGCAAAGAAAGACACATTAACGGCAGAGGCTCAATCAAGAAATGATAAACCGTGGCATGATTCAGAGATCAGCCATTCCAGCAGTGAGGCCTGAACCAGCAGCGGGGTAAGGATTCACTTGGAATGCCACACCTCTTATCAGAGAGCCCGGCCAGAGTCCTGGTTCGGTGCATCCTGGGAAACAACAGGTGAGGGCTCAAGGATGGAGCTCTCTGCCTCCAACAAGGAAGAACCAGATCAAGTCTGGGCTCCTGGCTTCAGCCTGCTTTGGTTCTGGCTGTTGAGGGCATATGGGAAACAACGGACAGAGCATCTCTGTCTCTCAATAAAACAAACAAACAAAAATTTTTAAAGAAAATTCACTGCTTGGAAAGCAGTGAAATGAATGCTGAAACACTCAAAAATACAAAGAGCCCATTTCTGGTGCCTTGAGGACAGTGGTCCTAGAAACACAAGTTGATGGTCAAGGGCATGACTACAAGCACACATTTGGACAAAATTTTCCCAGTGATCTCAAATAACTGACTGCATCAGAATCAGAAACACTGGGCCCCGAAAGAGAAGCTTCTGATTCAAGATGTCGGGTGGAGAGCGAGAGGGGACATCTCTAAGAGTAACAGTGATGCTACTGATCTTAGGGTGACTTGAAAACTCCCACGGGAGATTAAAACATAACTATAAAACTCCACCTCTGTTCTTCCCCACAGCAGTCAGACCTGCCATCATGCTACTGGGACATAGTGAGAACAGAATATACAACGTTATCTTAAAAAAAAACTGTGAAATCTATGCCTAGGAGTCTTCAAAAGCTCCTAGAAAATGCACATTATGAAAAAAAAAATGCAGGGATTCCAATGTTTTAAATCAAAATGAGATTTTTAAATTCTCTTTTCCCTTGAAGGCCACAAGGAGTGACGGTCATCTCACCCACTGTGGCCAGGTTCTCATAGTTGTCCAGCATCACCTCTCGGTAGAGGCTTCGCTGAGCTGCGTCCAGCAAAGCCCACTCCTCCTGGGTGAAGGCCACAGCCACATCCTCGAAGGTCACCAGGTCCTAAAACAGTACACAGAGGCGGGCTTGAGCCAAGTACCAACCCACATTCACCGCAAAAATGAGGCCCTGTGAGCCCACACAGTGTCAGTGTATCTCTACCGCTGTCTCCACCAGGAGGCAGTGCTCCAAAGGGCTGCCGCTCAGCTGCACCCAACCACACGGGGCGGATGTGAGGGTGCACAGCAAAATAAGAAACATACCCTTGGCATTAGGAGGGTCAAGATTACTTCATAACGAAACACTGGGATACCATTTGGCTCAGCTCCGGCCACTGCAGCCACTTGGGAGGTGAATCAGACGGAAGATCTTCCTCTCTGTCTCTCTTCCTCCTTGTATATATCTGACTTTCCACTAAATAACTAAATAAATATTTTTTAAAAAATAACTAAGTAAAAAAAAAAAAAAATAGAGAGAGCCTGGTACAATAGCTTATGGGCCAAAGTTCTTGCCTTGCATGCACCAGGATCCTATGATAACGGTGCCGGTTCATATCCCGGTAGCCCCACTTCCCTTCCAGCTCCCTGCCTGTGGCCTGGGAAAGCAGTGGAGGACGGCCCACAGCCTGGGATGCTGCACCCGCGTGGGAGACCCGGAAGAAGCACCTAGCTTTGGATCGGCTCAGCTTCGGCTGTTGTGCCAACTTGGGAGTGAACCAGCAGACAGATCTTTTCTGTCTCCTTCTCTCTGTAAATCTGACTTTACAATAGACATGAATAAACCTTAAAAATAAATAAATTAAACACATGGAAGACAGAATTCTGATGATTTTCATCATACATGTTAAGGTGTGTGACACACGAATGTTAGGTATACAAGACGGGCAGGCTTTCCCTAACTGGACATCACACAACATAGACATGTATTGAAACAATGCATGGCACCTTGTAAGTATGTACAATTTCTACATGTCTATTCAAAAAGATATGAAAAGAAGAAGATATGAGCAGAGGTATGCCTTGAAGGAAAGGCATCTAGCCATGCATGCCAGGGTGTCACTTTCCAAGACGCAGCTGTGCACACCTGGTAACAACCTGCTGGACGGGCAGTCGCCATCCTTTCTGCTGCTCTCTCGTCTCCCTGAATGCTGACTGGGACCCTAGGACAAAGGCCTGGCAGGAGAGAAAGACGGCATGAGAACCCAGAACTGATCACATTCACACACCCGGGCTCATTCCATCCTAACTCAAAATTCCCTAGGCAGCCAGCACACTCACAAGGTCTCTCTCTCTCTCTCACACACACACACACGCACGTGCACACACTCCTCTACAGTGAGTAGTCAGCCTCACCAGGAGTCAGCAACCACAGCCTGCACCCCACAGTACTCCCATTTCACGGCTAAAGAAGCACAAGCCCTGACAAATGTCTCCATTTGCCTATACTGACAAGAACATATGGGTCAAATTATGTGTAACACTTCTACCTAGAATCAAAGCATGTAGACAAAGGGTTCACCTGAAAAGCAGCCCTCTCTGGGGGACTCCGGCACCCCCCAAAAGGAGCCAGCAGTTTGACTAGTTAGGTCCAGACTACATAGTCCGGAGAGGCAGTGAAGGCACTGATTCTGTAAGACAGGAACGCCATTAGTAGGACTTACCACGGACACGTCAGGGCAGTCTGGAATTTAACTGGACAGTGGCGATCTCTGCTCCTTGTGGGTGGACTATCTGGATTCCTGTCAAGATGAATCAACAAGCAGTTAACTGTCATCAAACATCACACCTGGCGCACTTCAGCTTGTCATACGTGGGAGAGCCGCTACAAACCAGCACACTCTAACGAGTACTGACTGCTGCTGGCCTTGACTGAGGACAGCATGCTAAAGTCACACTAGAAGCTTAAAAGGGGCAGATAATCAGAGCTATGAGCTATAGAACAGTCTGGTACTCTTGAGCCAGAATGCTTGCTGTGAATATTCTACTAGGCCATTATGAAGAGACACACACACACACACACACACACACACACACACACAATGTGTTAAGAAATGAGCACAGCTCGGCTGCAATAAAGTCATTTGCAAAAATAGGTTTGGGACCAAGTGTGTCCAATGGACCACACTGCCAGCCTAAGAATTTAGTACAGCTTACTCAACGTAATAACAAGTCTCAAACCAGATGTTCAGAAACCACAGGAAAGAATCACAGCTTCTCATCCAATTCCCAGACCTGAGAGACTCCCATTAGAGATGTGCAGGGGGGATTGGCGCGGCAGCCTAGTGGCTAAAGTCCTCACCTCGCACGCACCAGAATTCCATTTGGGTGCTAGTTTGCATCTCATGTGCCCCACTTCCCATCCAGCTCCCTGTTGGTGGCCAGGAAAGCAGTGGAAGATGGCCCAACGCTTTGGAACCCTGCACCAGCATGGGAGACCCAGAAGCAGCTCCTGGCCTCGGATTAGCTCATCTCCAGCTGTTTCAGCTGCTTGGGGAGTGAGCCAGCAAATCAAAGATCTTCCTCTGTCTTTCCTCCTCTCTGTATATCTGTCTTTCCAATAAAATTAAAATAAATCTTTAAAAAATAAATGCCATGTGATCTACACACACAGGAGGGGGACCCCGACGTACATCCCACACCACCCACTCGCCCCCCACAGCCCTGACAGGACGGGCGGCCCCCTGTACATCAGCCAGGCATCCCGCATCACCCGCTCGACCCAGCAGCCCCAACAGGACAGGTGGTCCCGAGGCGCCGACAGGAGCGGGGGGCCCAGACAGGAACGTGGGCCCCAACAGGATGGGGGCTCCGACAGGAACGGGGAACCCTGACAGGAACGGGAGCCCCCGACAGGATGGAAGGCTCTGACAGGAACGGAGGACCCTGACAGGATGAGGGGCTCTGACAGGAACATGGGCCACGACAGGATGGGGGGCTCCGACAGGAACGGGGAACCTGCCCGACAGCCCGGCATCCCGCACCGCCCGCTGGCCCCGGGAGCCCCGACAGGACGGTCCGCTCGCCCCCGCCAGCCTCTCACCTCCACAACGTCAAGTCCCGCCGCACCGACCAGGCCGGAAGAGACGGCGCGGGCCGTGACGTCACCTCCGCTCGCGCGGGCCGTGACGTCACCTCCGCTCGCGCGGGCCGCGCACCCCACTTTGGACAGCTTGTGCTCAGACGGCGCCCCGACTTTCCCAGCTAACGGCCCGAAGCCCTGACCTGCCCCTTTGACAAACCTACCAGTCCACAAGATGGTCTGAGTTCCTGCTTTTTCTGTCACCTGGAGACCAAACTAGTAGTCGTGTTTCCCATATACGGTTTTTTTTTTCCTTCTACAAATATGCATTTCTTTAATGACTGGGATGATCACAGAAGTCCACAGCCCAGATACATCTATCACTGACCCCAAGCATGTTTTCACTCAGGCTGTGTGTTTATGGGTGGCCTCATTGGAATTAATAGGGCCAGGAATGATAGCCTAGTGACTAAATCCTTGCCTTGCATGTACCTGGGGTGGGTGCCGGTTCCTATATCAACTGCCCCACTTCCCATCCAGCTCCCTCCCTGCCTGTGGCCTGGGAAAGCAGTGGACAGCCCAAGGTCTTGGGACGCTGCAACCGCGTGGGAGACCTGAAGAGGCTCCTGGCCTCGGTTCAGCTCAGCACCAGCTGTTGCAACCACTTGGGGAGTGAATCAGTGGATGGAAGAGCTCTATCTCTCTGTAAATCTGCTTTCCCGCGACACTGGCATCTCATGTAGGTACCAGTTAAGAGTCCCCCCTGCTCCACTTCTGATCCACCTCCCTACTAACACGTGAAGGCAGTGGAAGAGGCCCAAAGGCTGGGGATCCTGCAGCTAGGGGTGAGGTCTGGCCCAGCCACAGTGGCTGTGGCCTCATGGGGAGTGAAGCAGTGTTCAAAGCTTTGTCTCCCCCACTCACTCTGTAATTGTTTCAAACAAATCTTTTAAAAAGTTCAGATATGTAATCAGGTGTGTTTTATGCCTCTCCTGATAGCTGTTTTGCCATGCTACTTTTTCAACTTCTGGTGCATAAAATGCACTGCTTTGAGTCCAATCTTCTCTTTCTGCCGATCCAGCTCTGGGCTGATGCGCCCTGGAAAGCAGACATTCCAAACACAGGGCAGATCTGGCTGGAGTTCCAGGTTCATGCACAAAGTTTCTTTTTTTTGTTTGTTTTTTAATAAAGCTTAGTATAAATACTATTGATTTTCAAGAGGACCGTCTGGTAGAAGTTTCTTCCAAGGTATTTAAAATGTATACAATTTATCATTTATTTACATCACTTTTAATAAAGGTAATTACCTTACTCAGCTTCCTATGAATGCTCTCCTAGTCCCTAGGGACTTGCTTTTACAGCAGTAATTAAACTGTAACTACTGCTGGCATTGCTCTAGCTGCCACAATCACATTTCTGGATCATGCTTTCAGTCACTGAACACCGAGACAGGCTTGATGTCAGTCATGGACCACAGTTTGCCAACCTTGGTACTGAAATCTTACTTGATTTAAAAGAGAACAAACAGGTTTGGGAGTCTTTCAAACAAATCTTTTTGAAACTGTAAACGTTTATTTAGCCCAGGTTTACCTGTATCTACTCTTGGGGACTATAGACTGGTGTGGTCATTATGGCTATGGGTGTTCCATATAATACACCATGGAGACTAGCACAATGCAGCCAGCCCATACTTAAGATACCTTTATAGGCAGGGAGCTGGAAGGGAAGTGGGGCTGCCGGGATAGAACCGGCGCCCATATGGGATCCCGGGCGTGCAAGGCGAGGACCTTAACCACTGCGCCACCGCGCCGGGCCCGTGAATCATTCTTAAATAAAGGAAATGCTGTTATTTGTGACAACATGGTTCAACTTGAGGATTTTAAACTAAGCAACACAGAGCCAGAGAGAATGACAAGTGAATGATTTTTTTTTTTTTAGATGCAGAATCTAAGTCATAAACTCAACCAGAGAACATAACAATAGTTATTAGAAACTGGTAGTCATGGAAAAAAATGGAGAAGACACTGGTCAAATGTTACGAGTATGTGCTCGCTCTCTGTAAAGCACAGTGATTCTAATTCTCGCCAGTATGTGCACAACAGAAAGCACTTTCATGGCACCACAAGGTCATGAGAAACGCGTTCATGACAGTTGTAAACATCACTTTACAATGTTTATTAAGTCCAATCAAGCTATATTCCCTAATACATGATTTTTCACTTGTAACTCAATAAAGTTTAAAAATAAAGAACTATAATGGAAATTAGAGATCTGTAATTGACATCATTAAAATATCTGTAACATCCAAAATATACAGAACCTTCCAGAAGCCAGATCTGCCAGCATGTAAGATCTCAGGACACAGCACATTCCTGTAATCTGGGCATGCAGCTTCTCCACTCAAATGAGTCCAACATTTCTCACCTTAATCGAGTTCTCTCCACCACATAGTTGCAGGTGAACAGCAAACTATTTAAGAGAATCTTAACTTTTCCACATTACACCAACAATGCTGCTCTCCACTGCAGTATTTCACATGCTTAGACGGAGATAGTAAAATCTTTGCATATTCATTACACTATGGGGCCGCAGAGTTCTCCCACGCTGGGTAGTGAGATAATAGTAACTGTGTGTCTTCCTCAGGGTCACGGTGTGTTTGCAGGGTTCTGAAGAACACGGACAGCAGCACTAATGTTCAAAAGGTTTCTTGACATGGGGACTTCAAATGTGGATACCAGGGAATGAGGAGACCCTACAAAGATTTTCTTCACAATCTTTACACTGACAGAGTCCCTCTCCAGTGTGATTTTTGATGCTCACCCAGGTCGGAGTAGCTGGGGAAGGCTTTCCCACATTCGGTGCATTCACAGGGCTTCTCCCCAGTGTGTGTGCGTAGATGTTTACTCAGGCCCGAGCGCTCCGTGAAGGCCTTCCCACACTCCTTACACACGTAAGGCTTCTCTCCGGTGTGAGTGCGCATGTGGATCCGAAGGTAAGAGGAGCACAGAAATGCCTTCCCGCATAAGGAACACTCGAAGGGCTTCTCTCCAGTGTGGATCCGCACGTGAAGGCGAAGGTAGGAGGAACACGTAAACGCTTTCCCGCACACCGTGCACTCGAAGGGCTTCTCGCCGTTGTGAGTTTTCAGATGTGCGTTGAAATACGAGGAAGAGGCGAAGGCTTTCCCACACTGGTCACACTGGAAGGGCTTCTCTCCCCTGTGACTTCTCATGTGGGCAATAAGGCTTGAGGATGTGATGAAGGCTTTCCCACACTGCTTGCAGTCGTAGGAATTCTCCCCAGTGTGACTTCGGAGATGTACAGTAAGGCCTGAGCGCGCGGCAAAGTCCTTCCCACATTCCTTACATTCATAAGGTTTCTCTCCAGTGTGAATTCGAAAGTGCGTTTGAAGGCATGAAGAATTTCTAAAATATTTTGCACATACCACGCACTGAAAAGGCTTCTCACACGTGTGGGTTTTTCTATGTTCGTTAAGCTGCGGAACGGTAGTGAAGGCTTTTGCACACTGCTTGCATTCATTAGGCTTCTCTCCAGTGTGTGTTCGTAAGTGCTGGCTAAGGCCCGAGTGTGCAATAAATGCTTTCCCACAGTCCTTGCACACATACGGTTTTTCACCCGTGTGAGAGCGCATGTGAACACGAAGGTAGGAGGAGCTTGTAAATGCTTTCTCACACATGTTACACTCGAAAGGTTTCTCTCCAGTGTGAGTTCTCAAATGTGCAACAAGAGAGGAAGAATGAGCCATGGCTTTCCCACACTGGTAACATTCAAAGGGTTTCTCTCCCGTGTGAATTCTTACATGTTCCGTGAGGCCTGAGGAGGTACGGAAGGTTTTCCCACATTCCTTACATTCGTAGGGCTTCTCGCCAGTGTGAGTTAGTACGTGCTTGGTGAAGCCTGCACGCCCACTGAAAGCTTTCCCACAGTCCTTACACTGATACGGTTTTATTCCAGTGTGAATTCGAAAGTGGGTCTTAAGGCATGAGGAGTTTCGAAAAGACTTTGTGCATATGTTGCATACGAAGGGCTTCTCACCAGTGTGTGTCTTTATATGTTCGTTTAGTAAAGCAAAGCTTGTGAAGGCCTTCTCGCATTCCTTGCATTCATAGGGCTTCTCTCCAGTGTGCGTGCGTAAGTGGATCGTAAGCCACGAGCGCCCGGTAAAGGCCTTCCCACATTCCTGGCACTCGTAAGGTTTCTCTCCAGTGTGAGTTCGCATGTGAACACGAAGGTAGCAGGACCGTGTGAAAGCTTTCCCACAGGTTGTACACACAAAGGGCTTCTCCCCGGTGTGAGTTCTTAAATGTGCGGTCAGATACGAAGAAGAGGCAAAGGCTTTCCCGCATTCATAACAACCATAGGGTTTCTCTCCGGTGTGACTTCTTAAGTGTTCACTAAGTCGTGAGGAAGTGATGAAGGCTTTCCCACATTCCTTACACTCATACAACTTCTCCCCTGTGTTGCTCTGCACATGCGTAGTTACACCTGAGGGTTCAGTGAAGGCTTTTCCACTTTCTTTCCATTCACTGGGTTTCTCTTCAGTCTCACCTTGCATATTATTACGGCCGACAGGAAACATGAGCCATTTCCCACCTCCCTCATACTCACGGGGTTGTCCTGTGGCGTGTGTTGGGGTATGTGCAGTTTGGCTCACAGAGTCAGGAACCGCTTTCCCACCCTGCTCCACGTAAGAGGGTTTTTCTTCACCGTGAGTTGAGCCTTGGTCCTGGTCACAATCCCTGCATCCTGCAGATCTGTCTTGTGTGTTTGCTCTCTGACACACATCTGGATTCGGGCTCAAGGGGTCTGCACTCTGGATCAGTGCAGAGAGTCTGTCCCCAGCAGAACTCTGCCTATACAGGGGAAAGAAGTCTTTTTCATGCTGATTCCAAGCAGAACTGTTCGCTGTACTGTTCACACGCATGGGTGTCTGAACGCCTGCATCCTCTTCACACAAGACAGTGTCACACTGGTTAGAGGCACAGAGTTCCTGTGTGCTGTGACTGCTTGCCTGCTGACAGAAACATGGATGCTATTTAAGACTTTTCAGACATTGAGAAATGCGTACTAGCAAGAATTCTGAGGCCCAAGCTTCGCTCTGGATCTCAGGTTTCTCCCCAGACACTGCTCTCTTGTATGTAGTCTACATCACAAAAATATCTCATTTCTTTCTTTTTTCTAATTAATTTATTTTCATTAGAAAAGTAGATTTTACAGACAGAAGGAGCTACAGAGAGAAAGATCTTCATCCGATGGTTCACTCCCCAGATGGGAAGTGGACCTGCTGGGACACGAACAGATGCCCACATGGGACCCTGGCACCTGTAAGGCAAGGATGTAACCACCGAACTATCATGACAGATCCAAAAATATCTCGTGTCTACCAATTTCTATCATGGAAATCCCAACCTCTGAATTTAGAAATTAAAAAATAACTTTTATTAATCTTACCAGTTCTACATTTTTTGAGGTCTCTGAGCAAAAGGTACCCCGATGTGCTCTTCCTTTGGTATTAAGGTCCACTGCCCATCCTGAAATAAAACAGGGAAGCATACGAATGGGTTTGCACAGCAGAATGAATGGCTGTGTAAGTTAAACCTTAAAGGGTATCTGCTACTTGTTTTCATATTAAACATAAGAAAATAAAGAGAAGATTTAACCAGGTTGGCTATGCCTAAAGATTGGTAATCATAAAGACTTGGGATGAAACCTTAGAAATTATTCAACAATTCATTCAATGACAATTAAATGTGATGGTGAAAACCAAAGTATGAGGAACACAAAGTGAGATCTAGCCAACGAGAAGCATTAGTTCAAATAAGAACTGACATGAGTTTCATAGGAACAAGGAAGGAATGGAAGATATCTCAAAACAAATGGTATAAGGCCCCAAAGCTTCAGATTCAAATGCCTTGAACAGGTTTCTTCATGGCACTTCCACACACACCGAACTGACTGCCCAGGGCTGCTTTTCATACTCACCCTGGAGGACACCCTGCTCTCCTATCATGGACTCCAATTCTTCCTCCAACCAAGATATCAGGCTAGGCTTGAACAGCTGGCAGCCTGCACTCAGAGAAACACATTAATGAGGTGAGGATGGCTCATGTGCAAGATGACAGACATTCCCAGGACACAGGATTGCCTAGTAAGAGAAGACTATATAGACAAAAAGCAAACATTCATTCCTTGGGCATCTAGAAAGACTAGTCAGTTATCTCCAACTCAGGCACAACCACAGAGGAAAATCTCTCAAGATACAACTATAGCACCGCTTTCCATCCTCAGAGTAAGTCTGACTCATGTGGAGCGACGTAAACTACCGCCTGCAACGCTGGCATTCCATGGCAGAGTGCCAACCTGGATTCCAGCTGCTGTATTTTGGACCCGGCTCCTTGGCCATGCGCCTAGGAAGGGAACAGGGAATGACCCAAGTACTTGGGGCCCCCCACCACCCACATGGGAAGCCCAGGTTTCCAGGACTAGGTAGCCACTGAGCCTGGCTCTCCTGGGGAACCTGCTGGGGGCGTGGAGGGAGGTGCTTAGGCTGAATTCCAGACTCCTGGATTCAGCCTGACCCCTCGGCCCTGGCTGCATCTGCAGAGCAAACCATCAGATGAAAGATCTCTTTTTGTCTTCCTGTGACTCTGCAGTTCAAATGACACGACTCAAGACTTCTGATTCCTTGTATCAACATGAAGTCACCGAGACTGAATGATGTCCCCAAGCCTAGAAGCACAGCTACTTTGTCCCTAAGCCTAGGAGCACAGCTACTTGACACCACCACAGCCGACTAGATGCTATTAGGACAGGGATGATTTCTTTGATTTCCGTTATACTTGACATCAGTCCTGGAAGAGGTAAGCACAAAACATTTCCACTCCCAAAAGGCTAACATCAGCCTGGCGGCAACCTTACCTACAGAGGCCACATTCCTGTAGTTCTCCAGCATCACGTCTCTGTAGAGGCACCTCTGAGCTGGCGTCAGTAAAGTCCACTCCTCCCGACTGAAGTCTACAGCCACGTCGTCAAATGACACGGAGTCCTAAATCACCAACACACAAGCTGCCTTGAGCCAGGGAGCAGCATTCATAGGAGCGAGGATGGATAACACCTCCACCACACTGAGTGGCCTGACTGCCCAGCCCGGGGGTCAAGGGCCTACTGACTCCCCTGTACCCATAACCCGCCTGTCTGCCTTTCCTGGCACTCCTCACACTGCGAGCGGAGGGGGTGCTTGACCCATCCTACTGTTCTCTATTATACTCCGAGCACAGCATTTGTACTCCATAAGCTGAAGAATTAAGCATCTCACGGAGCACATGGTCATCTCCGCTGTTAGTAGAAAACCAAGACACAGGCTTCTGGAGTCACGATGGTCAAAGTGCTATCTAAGCTGGAATGAGGCTTTGACTGTCCTATGACACCTTAGTGACAAGTCTGACTTTTACATCCAACGATGTTCACTCGTAGCAAGAGACAAATATTTTATACCTGGTGACAGTTTCTTAAGCATTCAGGCATAAAACTTTCTGCCTCTGTCTCGCCTTCATGTGGAGAGAACGAGTCCCTAGAAAGTAGATCTCCTAGAAGACAAAGACAGGATAGATGACAGTCACTCCATATAAACACACCTGAAGTCCTGTCACCCGACTTCCAAATCCCATTATCTTCCAACACATGCAAAGGGGCTCACACATAGGAACACCCAAGGCACCAAAGAAAGGGACTGTGGGCCAGGCAGCCCACACCAAGCACAGCACAATGACCTCAGCTGACGGGAAAGGAAACTTCAGCCCTGAGACATGTCACCCGATTCATCGCCCATGAAGACATACTCACAAGAGAGCAGGCATGGAAGGCAGCCCTCCCTGGCTGCTTCAGCTGCTCCACCATGAACTGAAATCTGCACTGTGCAGGGGAAACTAGGGCACACTCTGAAAACGGCAGTAGGCCTTACCAAGGGACAGCTTGATAACTTCCATCCTGGGAGGCTGACGGTGCAGAAGTCTGAACACTCCTTGATTCCAAGGACACGTCAAGACAGCTTCCCCCTCTAAGTGGAAGGAGAAATATCTTGTTATACACGGCTATTTGGAACCTGCTGGTATCAGTCATGAATCAACAAGCATTAACTCTCAGTCATGAAATACACCATCTGTGCTGGGGCAAACGTGAAAGTTAGAACAGTGCACTGTAACGTGTGTACCGCCTCTCCTGAAGTGCCATTTAATGAACAGTGACGCAAGTTTCTGAGAGCTTACATCTTCTACAAGCTAACTTAATTATCTCAACACTTCACAGCAGATATGACAATCATTACCTCACTGAAAATAAACAAGTGATTGCCTAATATAACCCAGTTTTGATATGGCGAATCACGACTGGAATGAAGTTTGCAGCCCAAGTCCTGTCTTCCACGGTAGCCATTACTGCCATTATCACACACTGCCAACTGCTCCCTGTGTTACTCAAACTGTGCCAACTCCACTTCTGACTGCAAGGCGTTAGAACCAGGATATCACGGATTTTTTAAAAAGATTTATTTATTTTTATTGCAAAGTCAGATACAGAGAGGAGAGACAGGAAGATCTTCCTTCTGATGATTCACTTCCCAAGTGACCGCAACGGCAAGAGCTGAGCCGATCCAAAGGCGAGGACTTTAGCCGCTAGGCCACAGCGCAGGGCCCCAATATCACGGATTTTCAAACCAGCCAGGACACTGTGCAAGCATCAATAGAATCTCGCTATCAACACACTGTGTGAAGTCTTCTGAGCTCTGCCTGGTTCTCGTGAGATGAAGAAAACAGTTCCCTGGGCAACACCAAAGAGCTGGTGAAACACCCACTACCTGAGAGGTCTCAGGGAAACTACGTTATTGTACATCAACATTTTTGTTTTCACTAACAGACAAAAAAGAGGGGCCAGCCTGGTGGCACAGAACGCTAACCCGTCATGTGTAACGCTGCCTCCACTTCTGATCCAATTCCCTGACAACGCACCTGAGATCTCAGCAGATGGCCAAAGTGCTTATCCTAGCACTCATGTGAGAGACCTGGAAAAAGCTCCCAGCTTCACTCTGGCCCAAAGAGCGAGCTCTCTCTCTTTCAAACAAGTATAATACATTTTAAAAAATAAATAAATAGGGCCTGGTGCAGAAGCCTACTGCCTAAAGTCCCCACCTTGCATGTGCCAGGATCCCATATGGGTGTCAGTTTTAACGGGACCTGGTTCTAATCCTGGCTGCTCCACTTCCCAGCCAGCTCCCTGCCTGTGGCCTGGGAAAGCAGTGGAGGACGGCTCAAAGCCTTGGGACCCTGCACCCACATGGGAGACCCTGAAAAGGACCTGGGCTCCTGGCTTCAGATCAGCACAGCACCAGCCGTTGTGGTCGTTCGGGGAGCGAATCACCGGAAGGAAGATTTTCCTCTCTGTCTCTCCTCTCTGTATATCTGACTTCATAATAAAAATAAATAAATCTTAAAAAAAAATCAGAATTATGCCAATTGTAAATGAGGCCACAAAGAATTTATTTAATCAATGAATCTATTTAATCTAGCTCTACCACCCGATACCTAGGACCTGCTATGAAATGATTCTGTTTGACCAACATGCAGTAAATGCTGTTCTTTAAACCTGGCCGACATGCTCAGCGTCTGTCAACAGCCATGGTTCGCACCTCCAGAGACACAGCACGCCTGGCCCAGCCAACCTACATTCTGCCATCACCCAGAGTCTGGACAATCAGCTTGTAAGGCTATCACCTCCCTCCTGAAAGAACACAGCTGTGACATCAGTAACACCCCTCTCCAGGGAGACACAGCGACACACTCCTGAGACCAAACAATTTTTCCTGTGAAAAGCTGGTTCAGGACTGAGGCACTCCCTCTCCAGGGCATCCTGGAGTCCCTGGGTCACTTGAGGTGGTCGCTGAGTGCCCCAGTGGTGTTAAAAAGCTGGTTGAGGACTGAGGCACTGCCCTTTTCCAGGGCTCCCCGGAGTCCCTGGGTCACTTGAGGTGGTCACTGAGTGCCCTAATGGTTCTCTCACTCACCCCAAAACAGCAAATGACTGGCTAGCCTTGGGGCGCTAAGATAACCGGAAGTGCTCGCAGGTCTGACCTGTGACCCACCCCCAAGACTCGGCCATGTGCTGACTTCCAGTCCAGTCACAGAAACACCCCACCAGCTGGGCACGGTTACCATGGGCTTCCTCAAGATAGGACAGAACTGAGGAGGACCCAGATAAGGTCGGACTGAGCCCGTCCAAGAGTGCGGGTGATCAGCTGGCCCCAGAAGCCCCTTAGGACGAACTGAGTGAACAGTTCAAGCAACACAAAGGGCACTTCTGCCCACAGCACTGAAGGCTCACTTCCAACCCCTCAGTCCGGCTGTTTCATGAACCCAAGAAACACTGGGCCAAAGCATTGCCCTGAGGTACGCACAGGCACTCCGGGCCTCAGTGTCCCAGCCCCCTCTCCACACCACTCCAGACTCAGTCTTGGCCTTGAACATGGCTTCAGTGTGGCTGAATGCCTAAAGAAGGACCCAGATCCATCCAGGAAGCTCCTCTACCACCCAGTGGGCTAACACATGCCATGGAAACCGCATATTCTGCCATGATGATGTGATATTTTCTAATATTTATTTGTCTCTTTAAAGGACACAGTGTATACCTGTTCACTCCCCTGTACTGCTGCAACAAGTCAGCTGGGCTAACCCCAGGAGCTCATGCACATGAGCCATTTGCTGCTCCCCAAGGCACCTTAGTATAAGCTGGACTGGAAACACAACAGCTGGCACTTCAGCTGGCATTCCGACACAGGTACCGGTGTTCGTGGGCAGTGGTTTAGCCCACTGCATCACCATGCTGGTTCCTGTGATGTGTTTCTAATCAACACGCTATATTAAAAATGAAGGAACTATAATAAAGGGACTGGGCCCAGCGCAATAGCCTAGTGGCTAAAATCCTTGCCTTGCATGCTTTGGGATCCCATATGAGAACTTGTTCATGTCCTGGCTGCTCCACTTCCCTTCCAACTCACTACTTCTGGCTTGGGAAAACAGCTAAGGCCGCTGGCTCCTGATTTTGAATCGGCTTAGCTGCAGCCATTGTAGCCACTGGGGAGAGGATCCTTCCATTTCTCCTTCTCTTTGTAAATCTGAGTTTGCAATTTAAAAAAGCGGGGAAGAGGATTTTGCAGGTTTAATGGCTTAGGTCAGGTGGTTTACACATGACAGCAGAAAAAGCACCAAGAGGTACCTGCCTTCATCATGGGTGGACTTTTAACACCAAGGCAGGCCTTCCTTGAGGTCTCGCTTACCCACATGGCATTGTAAGAACTGCAGGTGGGCTGAGCAGAAAAAGCCAGCCTCCAAGTGACAACAAGCTGTGTACGGCGCTGTAGGAACCTTTACCCTCTACCTAGGTGTGTGTGCAAATTGATTTTTCCCTATTAAAATGCAGGCCTAGGCTTCCCCCAATTAAGCTGCAAAGACTGTAACCCGATCAGGACCTTGACCGCAGGCAGGTGGAAACCTACCTAAACCACGTCCGGACTCCAAACACCAGGAAGCTGAGTAGCATGCAGTGGCTTAGGCACAACACAACACAAATACGAGTTGTCTAACAAGGTCTAAACTTCGGCCTTGGAGACAGGCAGATGTTCCACTGGCTTCTACTCAAAATCACATTTGTGAAGTTCACACACATTTTTGCGTTGCCCTTTGACGCATTCATACCTTTTATTGCCGTAGAGACTTCCATTCTTCTGCTGGTCTTCAATCGGGTTCTTTCCAATTTGGTATGAACAATCTTTAGTTTTATACTGACACTGCCAACAGTCCTGGAAACCGCTTTTCCAACATCAAATGTGTGCTCTGAACCCTGACTGTTCCATACATCCATCCATCACTGGAACCCTTCTGTGGCAACTAGAAAACATGGCAAGTGCCAAGCCCCACAGCAGCGCCCATCAGGCTTCCTGGAAAGTCCACCTCACGCACTCCCTTCTCTAGCAATGGAATTAGCCTACACACCCATTCCTTCCAGCATGGCTGGCTAACCTCTACAACTTGTATTTCTGGTCTGGATTTAATCACCATTTTTTTCCCCCCGTTCTTCCTACTCCAGTCAAAGACAAAGCAAATCATACCATCCTCTTTGATTTCTTAACACACTGATTTATTTGCTCCTATGTGGGCCTCCTCCCTACTCCACAAATTCCCTAAGGACACCATGAGGTTGGAATATTCTCACTATTCCTTCATCAACCATTCAGGGAGTCTTCAATGGACAGAAAACAAGCAATGGAGGCAACATTTACACATGTTGGAAACAAAGTTATTTATTTCAATCTATTGATTGAAAGAGACTTGAAAAAAGGTTTCTAGTTGAATAAACATCAATTTTAAAACAAACAAAGACATACCTTGGAGTGACATGAAAATGTTGGTTTATATATATTTGACATATGATTTAATCTTTGCTTGGCTCCAGCATGAGTACTGTCGTTTTAGCAGCCAGTGTTTTCTGTACAGTGGATGCAGTCCTGAGCATGTTCTAGCTCAAGTTATCAAAACACCTTCCAATTTCATTCCTCTCAACTTGCCAAAAACACCTACGTAGGGGTCCCAGCGCCAGAAGCATCTGGACACGCGGCCACGGCAGCAGCTTACTCGGCAAGCTCGCACCCTGAGGAGGGTCCCGGGTCTCCTCAGGGCAAGGACGGGGGCGACCCACGGGCGCACCCAACCACCCACCGAGACCCACCATGTCCAAGAAGAGCCTCGGACTGGGAAAGACGAGGTCCGACAACCCAAGGAGACGCCTGTGTCCCCAGACGGGGCGCCAGGGCCCTCGGGAACGAACTTTCTGGAACGGTCTCAGCGAAACGCGTGGGAAGGCCGAAGCGGCCTTGGGGAGGGCGCGGGACACCCAGCTAGGAGCAGGGCAGCCCTTCACCCGGCCCCGGCCCGCTCGGAGCAGCCCTTCACCCAGCCCGGCCCGCTCGGAGCAGGGCAGCCCTTCACCCGGCCCCGGCCCGCTCGGAGCAGGGCAGCCCTTCACCCGGCCCCGGCCCGCTCGGAGCAGCCCTTCACCCGGCCCCGGCCCGCTCGGAGCAGGGCAGCCCTTCACCCAGCCCGGCCCGCTCGGAGCAGCCCTTCACCCGGCCCCGGCCCGCTCGGAGCAGGGCAGCCCTTCACCCGGCCCCGGCCCGCTCGGAGCAGCCCTTCACCCAGCCCGGCCCGCTCGGAGCAGCCCTTCACCCGGCCCCGGCCCGCTCGGAGCAGGGCAGCCCTTCACCCGGCCCCGGCCCGCTCGGAGCAGCCCTTCACCCAGCCCGGCCCGCTCGGAGCAGCCCTTCACCCGGCCCCGGCCCGCTCGGAGCAGCCCTTCACCCGGCCCCGGCCCGCTCGGAGCAGCCCTTCACCCGGCCCCGGCCCGCTCGGAGCAGGGCAGCCCTTCACCCGGCCCCGGCCCGCTCGGAGCAGCCCTTCACCCAGCCCGGCCCGCTCGGAGCAGCCCTTCACCCGGCCCCGGCCCGGGAGAACTCGGCGCCCGGCCGCTCGCTCCTGCCCGAGCCCGCCCGTCACCCACAACTTACTCAAAGCCGCGCGAGCCCCGACGCACTGCGGGCCGGAAAAACAAAACACACAAAAAGGAACTTGCCGCGCAGAACCAGCGCCGGAAAAGACGGCGGCGGCCGCTGACGTCACTTCCGCCGCGGCGCTGCCTGCGGGCCGGGGAGGAGGGTGCCATGTTGGGCCCCTCCAGGGCTGCGGGCGTTTGCTCGCGTTGCGGGGCCGGGTGGGTGCAGCCCCACAAAACCTCTCATCCCGTCAGCAGTGTTCCCGGCCGACAAAGCAGGAAGGACCAAACAAGCAACAGAAGGCCCGGCGGGATGGCTCATTGGCTGAAGTCCTCACCCTACACGCGCCGGGATCCCATAGGGCCGCAGGTTCTAATCCCAGCTGCCCCACTTCCCATCCAGCTCCCTGCCTGTGGCTTGGGAAAGCAGTGGGGGATGGCCCACAACCTTGGGACCCTGCACCCGGTGGGAGACCCGGGAGAGGCTCCTGGCTCCTGGCTTTGGGTCGGCTCAGCTCCAGCCGGGGAATGAATTATAGGACAGATTTTTTTCTTTTCTGTCTCTTCCTCTGTACATCTGCCTTTCCATTCAAAATAAATCGCTTTTTTTTTTTTTAAGGATGCTTTTCTGCGTGCCTCAGGCCTCCTTCTTCACCACTATCCCCTGTTGGCAAACCTGCTAGTTGCTGATTGAGTCAGTCTGTTGCCCTTTCTGCAGGTCTTGACCTCCAGTTTCCTTTATCCGGAGACTACACTGAGCTCCAGGGCAGGTGAAACACTTTCTGTCAGTCTTGTCAAGCGCATATTTCTGTGTACGTGTCTCACTGTAAATTCAGTGGCCCTCTACCCTCCCATGTATTCTTGAGAGGGTTCCAGGGAAATCGTTTTTGCTTTGGTTTTTAGTTAGTGGTGTTTGTCAAGTTAATGAAGTTATTGTGAATGCTGATTTACGTATGAATTTTATCACAAGTGGTTCAGGATTGGTCCAATGTTTTTGAATCTGTTGAGAATTACTTTGATCTTGTGGCCAAAGGAGTTTTGCCCTTTTGAAAATGTTTGATACTTTCTTAAGGCAGTGACCTTCACATTATTTCATACTGACTTCCTTTTGAGTATGAAGTAATTTGTGGATTGATAACTTGTGTGTGGAGGCGGTTGAAACTTTTAATAGCAGGGCACTTTTGTTTCCAAAGGTTTATTTTTATTTGAAGGTCAGATCTACAGAGAGGAGAGACAGAGAGGAACATCTTCTTCCACTAACCCATTCCCCAAGCTGCTGCAATGGCCAGAGCTGAGCCGATCAGGCGCCAGGAGCCTCCTCCAGGTCTCCCACACAGGTGCAGGGTCCCAAGGCTTTGGGCCGTCCTCCACTGCTTTCCCAGGCCACAGGCAGAGAGCTGGATGAGAAGCAGGGTTGCTGGGATTAGAACCAATGCCCATATGAGATCCTGGCACGTGCAAGGTGAAGACTCTAGCCACTAGACTACGGCGTCGGGCCCAACAACAGAGCACTTGTTCAAGAAGGAAGTCATTATCACATTCACTTTTTTTTTAATTGATTACATTGTATTATGTGACACAGTTTTATAGGCACTGGGATTCCCCCCACCCCACATTCACTTTTTTCCTAAGAATACTCAACTGATGAACAGGTTTGAGCATAAATTACATATGTAAAGTCCCTTCCTGTTTTCCACACTCTTCTATGGAAACAAGTCAGACGTCTTGCATACACTCCCGGGGAGGTGGTTAATACTAGGATGTAACCGCACTGTTTGTGGAGCCATGTAATGGGGTGACACCTCCTTGGTTCTTGCAGCCCTGAGCTGGTGTGCGATCGTCACTGAAGTGTTAAAGCAGTGCTCACAGACAAAGGGGGATCTGGCTTGTCTTCCACGCAGAAAGCTTCCGGTGCCTGGAGTGCTCCCCCTCGGAGAAGCGTTTCAAGCTGAAGTGCACACAGGTAGTGTGTGGGTACGCGGGCAATTTGATACTGCAATCGCAAGGCCTGGAAGCCTCAGTGCCCACACCGAGGATTCAGGGCACCAGGCCTTGGCACAGCCTTACCGGAGGTGGGTACTTAGGGGCTTACATGCGATGTGCAGCCTGGGATGTGCCGTGCCTATGTCATAAGGAACACGGGAACCAAACAAGCCATCCGTGTGGTTGGTTCCTGGGCACCTAGTAAGAGTCCCTTAGGCCTTAAATAAGAAGTTTACATACTGGTAAGAAAAGCTTAAAAAGTTCACAGGCCAGCATGGAGACATAGCAGCCTAATACTCCACGCTGTGATGCTAGCATCCTATTTGGCATCTTGGCAGCTCCACTTCCCTTCCAAAGCCTTGGGACCCTGCACCCACATTGGAGACTCGGAAGAAAGTTGTGGCTCCTGGCTTGAGATTGGCGCAACTCTGGCCGTTTTAGTCACTTGGGGAGTGAATCATTGGATGGAGGATCTTCCTCTCTGTCTCTCCTCCTCTCTGTATATCTGACTTTGCAGTAAAAATAAATAAATCTTAAAAAGAAAGATAACAGACATAGGTGCTTGAAGGAAAAAATTGAAGACTTTGCATACAACTGTAGAGATCACAATAGTGTCCAAATAGAAGTGGGTTTAGGGGAGAGTGAAGGCTATTTAATGCATGGGAAAATCTGTCAACATCATGCGGTCCCTGTAAGGACTCAACGGAGAGGAGCCAGTACCCCAGGTAAGAGGAAATAAAATGGGGATGAATTGGGATGGGTCATAAATTCAGAGTGCAGGACATCATGCCAAGGACTGGCAGGTTCTTCGACTCTGCAGCATATTGCTAGGGGCTCGGGGAAGCTGGGTGCAGGCCGGCAGGGTGAAGCCCGCTGCCTCCCGACCCAGGCCCAAACCCCCGTTGGGAGCGCTGGGCCGGTTGGTTCCACGTGCAGCTCCGCCCCCGCCTGTGAGCTCCGCCCATCGGTCCCGCTTTAAACTCGCCCTTCGCCATCGGACCGGTCGCGTTCCCAAGTACGTTCCCTCACCTTCCTCCACGTGGAAAGAAAACCAGAATTTCTCCGCGCGTGGCGGTGCAGAGCCACGGAGCCCCGCCCGGCGCGAGGCTGCGAGGCGGAAGTGACGCCCGCGCACTGCCGCCGCTCGCTGGGCTCGTTTCTCCTCCTGGGCTGATTTGGGGGTCCTGGCGGCAGTGAGCGCAGACTGAAGGGGACCCCCTGAGCCCCCCCAAGGTGCAAGGTTTCAGCCTGAGCGCCTCCGCTCCACGCCCCCAGCAGGTTCCCTGGAGAGCCCGGCTCGCAGGCCACCTAGTCCTGGAACGGCGCGCCAGGACGCACGTCCTTCGGGTGTGCTCGGCCGTGCGCCCCGTCCTGGGGCGCCTGCACATTTCTCATGTGGTCTTTCCCCCGCCAAGGAGGAAGAGACTTTCAGCGGTTTGGAATCATGATGACTCCGTGCCCAGCGCCTTGCAGCCTCAAGGACCGGGCTACCCAGTGGTGTTCCGGTGAGCACTGGAAGAGTGGGTTCGTCCAACCCCCACCCCCACCCCCGCTCCTCTTCCTCTTTTCCTTACACAAAGGGACGTTTCGGCCTGGGGGTTGGCCCCTTCTGGCCGTGAGTTGTATCTCTTGCATCTCTTGCGTTGCTTTCCATTACAAAGACCGAGATAACAGGTGCTTCGCTGTGGCATGTTTCTATTATGGAAATAGAAAAACTTGTTGGTAGACTTTTTTTTTCCTTTCCTAACAAAAGCAGGACTGGTCACCCGTCGCCCAGGCAGTTGGAAAACCTGGGCCTCCAGGCTTGGTGACTGTAGGATTAAATTTTGCATTAGAAAAACCGTTCCCAAAGTCTCTTGCCAAGGCCACTTCAACATTCAAGGCTGGGTGCACACGCTGCAAAGCTATGCTCATTTCTGGCCTTCTGCTTCTTGACTCTCCCTCTCCCAAAGAGAAAAATACATTTTTTTTTTCTTTTTGGTGACGAAATCTGAGAGTGACTTTAGGATTCAATTACAGAGAGGACACAGGGCTTTCCCAGAACTGTGGTGGAAGGAGAGGACGACATTCATTGCCGTAAGCTTACAGCGGTGCTGACTTTGAGCAGCTAACAGTAGTGTCATCTGAATTTGGAAAGGCAGATTCTCCACATTGTTCCCCGCCCAGCTTTTGGGTGTTTCTAGAAGTTAAGATGCATCCAGGCTGCCTACTCTACATTGGTGACCTTGTGTGGTCTCTTGGCCTGTCTCTTTTCAGTAGATGGAGTCGTTTCCAAGCATGTACTTGTTGAAAGTCAAAACCAGACAGATCCATCCCTGGGTTTGCTCCCTGAATGCCTGCTGCAGCCCTGGGCCATTCCAGAGCATTGCCGAGTGTCTCTGGGGCCCCCTGTGTCCCAGTGACGGGTGTGTGGTAAGCCGGGGTGACTACTGCACTCTTCTGCACTGAAGTGAGTGCCATGGCTAGATGTGGGGCTGTGATTGTAGGGGGCAGAGTTGGTGCAAGGAGAACATCAATGTGACCTTGGAGTTGGTCGTTACATTTCTGCCCTTCTGAGCACGTTATGCCTTGCACACACCAGGATCCCAGATGGGCAGTGGTTTGCACCCTGACAGCTCCACTTCCCACCCAGCTCCCTGCCTGTGGCCTGGGAAAGCAATGGAGGACGGCCCAAAGCCTTGGGACCCCGCATCCGCATAGGAGACATGGAAGAAGCTTCTGGCTCCTGGCTTCGGATCAACTCAGCTCCAGTTGTTGCAGCCATTTGCGGAGTGAATCAACGGACAGAAGCTCTTTCTGTCTCTCAGTCTCTTTTTGCCTTTCCAATAAAAAATATTTTAAAATGCTCATGGCAGGACTTTGCACGGAGGCTGAGTGTGAGCAGGTGGACCTCTCTACTTTATTCTACATGGATATCATTCATGTAAGGAATGACTGGCTCCCTCCTGGGCTGTATGGAGTCACAACCCCCACAGGCCCTGCCTCTGGGACCCTGTGCCTGACTGGGCCCTTGGGTAAATCCTGCCTGCAGAAGGGGCTACCTTCTCTCTGTCCCTCGTCAGAAGTCGGGGTGTGCAGAGGGGATGACCCTCCAGCGGTCTCCTGACGACCAGAGGAGCCCTCAGTGCTACCGTGTGAATGGCGGAGGCAGTGCTGCTAAGCGTTACGTGTGACATACGTAGCTTGGGGGACTTGCTGCACTGGATACCCACAAGAGGAGATCAGAGCAGGTGTGCAGGGCATAAACGGCTATGTTCCCCACTCCAAGACTGGGTTTATTCATTTGTTTTCAAGACAGACTAATAGACAGGGAGAGCCAGTCCTCTCTGCTGATTGACTACCCAGATGGCTACAAGGGCCAGCGCCAGCCTTCCATTCCACAAAAATTAAGTAGATTTTGGGCTTATTGTGATACCCTAGTGACTGAGGTCCTCACTTTGCATACCTGGGATCCCATATGGGTGCGGGTTCTCATCCCGGCAGCTCCACTTCCCACTTAGCCCACTTCAACTTAGCTCCAGCCATTGGGGCCATTTCAGGAGTGGACCAGTGATGGAAGATCCTTCTCTCTGTCTCTTTTGTAACTTTAGCTTTCAATTTTTAAAAAAGGTTACCTTATTTATAATCTGGGTATACCTTCACAATATAAATATTTTAAATGAGAGCCAGACTTTCTATAAAAAATTACCTGTAAAAGAGCATCGCCAGGATTGGCACTCAAGACCAGTGCTGTCCAGTTGAAGTTAGGCTATCAATTCTGACTATGCACCGCAAACTCCAAAGAAATGGCGATTATTTCAGCATCGCAGTTGGCAGCCGCTGGTTTGGTGTATGACCCCTCCAGCTGATTGGTACTCATTTTCGGGGTCTTCTCTGGGTGCCGCCTGCACAGTACAGATTCCACAGTGTGGACCTGAGCACTACCCTATCTCCTAGCTCATTTTAGGGGAAATGGGAATAGGTTAGGGAATGCTCTTTTTTTTTTTTTTAGTTATTTTTATTGGAAAGTCAGATATACAGAGAGGAGGAGACAGAGAGGAAGATCTCCCGTCCAATGGCTCACTCCCCAAGTGATCGCAATGGCCAGAGCTGCGCTGATCCAAAGCCAGGAGTCAGGAGCCTCTTCCAGGTCTCCCACACGGGTGCAGGGTCCCAAAGCTTTGGGCCGTCCTCCACTGCTTTCCCAGGCCACAGGCAGGGAGCTGGATGGGAAGTGGGGCTGCCAGGATTAGAACCCGCACCCATATGGGATCCTGGCATGTTGTAGACAAGGACTTTAGCCACTAGGCTACTGTGTGGGCCTGGAAATGTTGTAAGGAAAATTTGGTATTCATTCCCCTCTGTGAACAACGGGTCCGCATTTCTCTGAGAAGTGTTTTCAACCTGCGAAGTGGAAACTTCGCTCATTTTTGCTTTGCTGGGCAGTGAGGCTCAGCATCCTGCTTTCAGCTTTGGGTTAGCCCTGAGGACCCTGATGTGGAGGTTCTCACGAGTGTGCAGGCTTGCCGTAGGAGTTCCAGAGCAGATGGACTGGGTCCCTAGCTGTGCAGTGATGGGTGGCTCTAGGAGTCCATACTTTCTGTTCCAGGAACCCTTCTTTCTGGGAGCCAAATCTGCTTTCCTGAAGAAAGGGTAAAGACAGTGAGGATGCTGGCCACCTGCCCGACAGCTTGTTACCAGGTATGCAGAAACAGTGCCCTTCAACAGGAGACATCCCTGCCCGCACCAGGCAGCCGCACTTCTCCCCGGCAGCTGTGTCTCCTGGTGGTCCGACCTCCTCATTCTAGTGACCACAATGGAGCTGTGCGGTGCCTGTGTGCTGAGGCTGCTTTGTGCTGTGTGATCGTTTAGGACCCTGTGACCTTCGAAGACGTGGCTTTGAACTTCACCCAGGATGAGTGGGTTCTACTGGATCAGACTCAGAGAAGCCTCTACCGAGAGGTGATGCTGGACAACTTCGAGAACCTGGCCTCAGTGGGTGAGACGGCTGTGTCCTCCGGTCCTTGTTAGGGAAGGGTGTGTGTCAGAAGCAGCAGATCAGGCCTCAGATACGCGGTACACACGTCCCAAGTGGCATCTTCTTTTCTTTAAGGATTTATTTTATTTCCATTACAAAGTTAGATATAAAGAGAGGAGGAGAGACAGAGAGGAAGATCTTCTATCCAATGATTCACTCACCAAGTAGCCGCAACGGCCAGTGCTGCATTGATCCGGAGCCATGAGCCAGGAGCCTCTTCCGGGTCTCCCACCCGATGCAGGGTCCCAAGGCCGTGGGCCATCTTCCATTGCTTTCCCAGGACACAAGCAGGGAGATGGATGGGAAGTGGAGCTGCCAGGATTAGAACCAGGTCCCATATGGGATCCTGGCACGTTCAAGGTGAGGACTTTAGCTGCTAGGCCACAGCGCCGGGCCCATTTTTCTTTCTTTTTTTAAAAAAAAAGATTTATTTATGTTTGTTAATAAAAACTAAATAAATAACGTCTAATGTTCTCAATCGCAAAATGTGGTCTAAGATCACCCCAATACATCACCCTATTAGCAGTGAAGACACCAGTCTACCCTGGTCATACTGAATCAAAAGCACGTGTGTTAAGGTGTCTGGATAAATTTGATTATCTATAACATATGAGAGTCACTGCTGTCGGCTGTCCCCCAGAGAAGCAGTTTTTTCTTTGTTTCACTTGATTTCCTGTTTGATTCACAGTGTTAGTGTGAGCATTCATTGGTGGTTCAGCCATCAGAGGTGACTAAACTTTGTGAAGCAAAGAAGGGTTGAGTATTTGCATGCTCAGGCCTTTCACAGTAATCTCACTTCTTTCACCAGAACACTGTCCCTAACTTAGACTGTGTAAGACCTCTTGTGTGCGCATCTGCCACTAATGTTCTCTTCTCTCACGTCAAGGACACCTGCCAAACAAACCTGCTGTGATCTCCTGGCTAGAACGGGAGGACCTGCAGACAGCACCGAGGGGATGCCGCCGAGGTGAGTGCCGGCAGGGGCAGGAGACGTTCAGGATGTTGGGCCGCGTGCTGAGCATGCGTTTTAAGTTCTCTCAGAAACAGTCCAGCCACGTGTCAGAAGACACCTTCAGAGAATATTCCTTTGTTTCCTGTGGTCCCACAGAACAAATTTATCTCATTCTTTTTAAGCTTATCATCTTATTCTATGTTCTTTGTCCAGCTCTTTCCCTCCTTGTTCCTGGTCAAATTCTTCTGTTCTCAGAGGACCAATGCACAATCAACTGCCTACAAGTTTGGATCCACATACTTATCAGTGCGAAGTGTGACCTAGTCAGAATGGTTAATCCTTGTTCCTATGTTTTAATCCAGGTTTGCCTTGAAAACAAAACCCTCATTTCTTTATGCAAAACTTATTTTTCTGTTTCTATTCAGATTGGCAAGAGCAGCTTATCAGCCAAGAATCATTAGCCCAGCAGGACCTCTCGGAAGAACAAACCTCCAGTGAGATACCGATGGTAAGAGGGATGCTTGCTGTTTCCGGTTCTTGGAGAACACTTCGGATGCCATCACAGCTTTAAAGATTTACTTATTTTTCTTGGAAAGTCAGATAGATATACAGAGAGGACAGACTGGGAGGAAGATCTCCCTTGTGATGACTCACTCCTCAAGTGACTGCAATGGTTGGAGCTGAGCTGATGAGAAGCCAGGAGCCTGGAGCCTCTTCTGGGACTCTGACATGGGTGCAGGGTCCCAAGGCTTTGGGCCAAGCTCGATTGCCTTTCCAGACCACAATTAGGGAGCTGGACGGGAAGTGGAACAGCCAGGATTAGAACCAATGCCCGTATTGGATCCTGATGCATGCACGATGAGGCCTTTAGTTACTAGGCTCCTGTGTTGGGCCTAGGGATCTGGCACTGTTATCCATGATTCAATTAGAAAGGAAGCAGCATGGCAGGAACTGTGTGAATACAATGTAAAATTCAAAAATTAGGGCCCAGCCCCGTGACCTAGCAGCTAAAGTCCTCGCCTTTAATGTGCCAGGATCCCATATGGATGCAGGTTCTAGTCCCGGCAGCTCCACTTCCCACCCAGCTCCCTGCCTGTGGCCTGGGA